GACGGAATGCATGGATTGGAGTCAAGGCTAGGTGGCTTGAGGCCTGCCTTCGATTTTATGATGCAATCGAAAAAGCACCAATGGAGCGGACTTTAATCTTTTTGGAAAGACAATTTTAGTGGTAGACAACAAGTTTGCACTACTTTTTGCCACGTCACTGATCGGAAGTGAGCATCACTTTGAACCAATGCAAGGAACAACATGCATGCGAGGTTGTATCGTTCAATACTGTCAATTGCGATTCAGCAGGTGCTGACCATGATCCCACACTTTTGGTTTGTTTGTCTGATCAGAACGCAGGCGTGAGAGTTGGCTTCCTGGCTTCCTGTTTCCGATCTTTGTGTCAGGGGATTTGTTGTGCATTACGCGTCCCAGCTCCGATGTCGTTGGCTGCCATTTCGGCCAGGAGTTTGATCTTTAAACAGTTTGCTGCTCGCCCAAATAGGAACCTGTGCCCCTGTTGTGATCCCGAGGGCATTCATTGCTTTACTCTGCTTGGGAGCAAGTTTTCAAGCTTAAGACCTGCCTTCATGGTTTCAGAAGCCGTTCTTGGCATCACATGACTTCTGAAGCTCTGCTTAATTGCGATACCCACGAAATACGACGGGTGGCCCAAATGTTTTTGCTTTTGGTCTCCTTTAAAACCACCTACAACAAGGGGCACCCTCAAAGAAAGACACAGCCACATGTTTGCGTCTCTTCAGGATCCTTGATTCGAGTTGTTTTCAGGACACTTCGAATGAGTTGAGTTTCCAGTGTTCAAGCATTACCGTTCTTTTGTTCTTCGCTGTCTGGTGGATCAAACCAAAACCTGAGTCATAGTCAAAACGCGAAACGCCCAAGGAGCGATCCCAGAAAGTCAAGCCACAGGCAAAAAGCTGAGGACGGCCGCACCCCCCCGCTGAAACGGCCATCGATGGACTCGAAACACGAACGGAGGCGCTCCTTCGCGGCGTGCCGCCGTGAGGATGGGATGCTGGAGGCCGAGCTCAGCTTACGCGCGCTGCGCTGGACACATTCTTCAAGCTGAATACGGAAGCAATAGTTTCCATAGTCAGACTAGTTAGGGTTTTGGGGTGCTCAACCAAACTTAGTCATGATAGGAAGAAATGGTTAGGAAGAAAACCTTCCAAGTACAGAGCCTTCTCACTGGGGACTTTGACCCCTGGCTGGTACTAACAGTGGCTGACCACATCCTGCTGATGTTTTCCTGGGTTTCATCCATCGCAAATCCTCATGAATACCAAGACGATTTGTGCGAAACCCTACGAACACTGGGATACACCACATACCAATTGGTGGGAAGTGGATTTTTGTCCAAAGAGTCTTGGCAGCATTGGCTCGCGACCGTTTCGATGGAGGTGTTGGGAATCGCCGGCTTCCAGCGCGTCTCGAAAGAGACTTGGGGTGGAGAGGCGGGACAGGACGCGTCCTGTCAGGGCAGCAAGATCCAGGGTGTGTCTCTTTGTGTTGAGGTACCATAGGTACCTTTTCTCAGCTTGGTTTGAAGGGCAACCAACAGGAGAATCACAATTTTGGGGGTCTCCCTATTTTGACACATACCCAATCAAGCCGCAAACCCCACAGAACCACGAAACAAGGCCGCAAGCCCTAGAGATCAATTGGGCCACAAAACAATTGGGACACGCTGCAAAAAGAGCTTGGCAAACCCTAGAGAGTGTTCCCTGCGAGCTCGATATATTTGCAGGGAGCATCAAGTGACACACACACACAGAGACCGACGCACACAAACACACACATGTGAAATGGCTGGGGTGGGCAAAGATGGCCAATCCCTCAATGGGAATTGTCGACAAGCAATACGGGCGTTTGACAGGACTTTGACCATGACACACACGTTAAAGCTTACAGCCCATCAGCTGAAAGGCCATAGATGAAACTTGGTACTGATTCTGCGCTCCAGGAGCAGTTAACTTTTTGCAAGTGAGTGATGGGGCAGGTCGCGAGGCGTTTGGGCTGTATGCCCGGCGGAAGAAAATGACACCAATTCTGGATGCCAGTAGAAGCGTTTGACAAGAAATGAGTATGAACCATTCAGACGGAGTATACTTGCAGGACTGGTTTAGCCACCTTTCAGAGACCGATCAGGTGCCTTAAACGTGCCTACATTTCTTAACTCGCAACACAGGCAGGCGGGGCATTGGGCTTAGTAGCCCATAGTAACCCTCAAAATCAAGTTGGTGGTTCCATGGTGGTTCTCCTTTTGGTTTCCTTTTACAACCAGCAAAGGGGTGCCCCGCTCAAAAAGACACCCATTTGCCATTGAAGAGATACGCGACGGGGCACAAGGGAAAAAGACTGCCTTGGCTTTCCGGCCTGGAGCACTTCTGCCGGATTGCCTCAGAAGCAGCCAAGCAGTATCCAACTCGAAGCTTGGTCGACTCAGGCGAGCTCCTCAAGGGAACGATATTGGGCTCATCCCCGCAATACCAGTTTCCTTGCCGATGGGTGAATCAGTTTGCTTTGGATTTTGTCCATGAGGTTTGCCAGCAAAACAACAAAGGGCCTGCAGCTCATGGCCGCAGGCCAGTTGTCAGAGCTACACCCTTGTCTTGGTCAAGGCGCGGAATTGGCGTCGGACTCGGAGTTGGAGTTGGACGCCTGTTGCTCTCGCAAGGCGTGCTAGGCTTGCAAGCCGACTGTTTCAGTTGCGCTGGCTTTACTGTGGTGTCCCTTTTGCAGGCCTTGAAACATGGCAGTGAGTCGCGGTTTTCATTCAAGAGTTAGTTTTTGATGAGGGAAGTTTCATGTTGGAAGCTTCCTGATGCTCCAGGCACTTGTCTGCTTGGTTGTTGTTGCTGCTCGGGCATGGAAACCTGCTGAAGCTTCAGGAATTCCACCGCAGCCGCATGACGACCGGTCGTTTGTGTGGAAGTTGCCGTGTGCAGTGTTTCACTTGTGCGTTGCCCAGAGGTAGCCATGGCATGCGTGGGTGTGCCCATAGCCAGGGATGCAGCCGCCTTCCCAGCCCAGAAACGCCTGAGCGTGCAGACCAGATCTCATCGATTTGCCGGAAACGAGATCTCCAAGTCCGGGCGACCGCAGGGGAAGTCTGGCGGACTCGGAAGGCTGGGGGCTGCAGTTTCAGTTCTGGCTTTCGTGCGATGTGGTCCGCGAGCAGCACAAAACCGCTCGCGAGCTCCGCGGAGGTCCGGAGGCATTTTGCCGGAGGATCAGTTCCAGCGAACTCGCATAGTCACCTTTACCGGCATGGTCCTAGGCTACGCCGTGTATTACTTCACCCGGCTTTCCTTCACATACGTGGGCCTAGCCATGCGTAGCGACCTAGGCCTGAGCATGGTGCAGCTGGGTGCCATTAGCTCTTTGTTCCCCTTGGCATACATGAATTCCAAGTTCCTGTCCGGCATCTTGTCTGATGTGCTGGGCTCCCCGGTCTTGATCTTTTCCCTTGGCTTGATGATGACTGGCGTCCTCAACATCGCCTTCTCAACTGCAAGCTCCGTGCCGATCTTCACGTTCATCTGGTTGCTCAACGGGCTGTTCCAGGGCTGTGGCGCCACGCCGTGCAACAAGATGCTGGTGAGCTGGTTCCCAGCTCGGAGCCGAGGTAAGTGGTGGAGCAGCTGGAACGCGTCCCACAACATCGGCGGCTTCCTCATCCCGTTGCTGGCAGGCACCCTAGCTGCGAGCTTTGGCTGGCGAGCTGGCATGATGGGCCCCGGCATCATTGCGGTCATCGCGGGTGCCTTGGCCTTGATTTTCATGAAGGACGCGCCTGAAAAGGTGGGCCTTCCCTCTGCAGAGGACTGGGCAGCTCCAAGATTTGCGGCCGGCAAGCAGGAGCCCGCCGAGGATTCCAAGGCAGAGCCTGCGGAAGACAATGATAATATTTGGAAGCAGCTGCTTCGCAACAAGTTCTTGTGGTGTATGGCTGCGATGCACTTCTTCATCTACTTCATTCGGCAAGGTGTGCTGAATTGGGCACACTTTTACATCATGGATGAGTTCGGGGTTCCAGCGACGCCTGGTGGTTCCCAGCCATCCCCTTCTGATTTTAGACGTTTTTCGTTTTTTTGGTAGGTCTTGGTTGTTTTTAGATGGTTTTTCCGTTGGTTTTAATGGCAGCGTCCAGCCCAAAAGTGTTCTCCACTTGGCATGGCCCAGGATGGAGGCCACTGCGCGGGTCAGCGGCTTCGAGCTCGGGGGTCTGGCTGGCTGCATCGTTTCGGGCCAGGCCTCGGATTGGCTCATCAACCGCTTCCCCTCATCTGGGGCTGCGGGCATGCGCGCCAAGGTGGGGACTGGGGTCACGGAATCGCTGCGGCCGCTGTTTTTTTTTCCGGAAGAAACCAAGCCCAAGGCCATGTGGGAAGAAAAGAAGAAAACAAAAACAACAAACATGACAAAAAAGGGTACTGATAGCAATTTAACAAAGACACAGGTGATGGTGGCTTACTCACTGGCAGCTGCAGCGGCGGTTGGCTGCCTTTGGGTGCTACCGCCCATTGCGGTGTTTCAGTGGCTCTCCATGGCAGCGTTTGGCTTTGCCATCTACGGGCCACAGACACTCATCACCATGACCGGGGTGGAGACGGTTCCGCCCAAGGCAGCTGCCACAGCTGGGGGCCTCTTGGCTTACCCGGCCCAGTTTGGCTCCATAGCTGCAGGTCTGCCCTTTGCACTTTTGGTGCAGAACTATGGCTGGGGCGGCTTCTTCCCGTGCCTCATCACTCTCAGTTTGATCTCCGCGGCGGTAGTGCTTCCTGGACTCAGCACGCCGTCATATCGACAGCTGCGCCGGGGGTGGAAGAAGTGAAACGCAGTTCGGCCACTTTGCGCGCTGTTTTGTGCGCCGGACCTGCGGCCGCTTTCCACCCGTCGCTGGCAAGGAATTTATGCATCCCCCGAGTTGCGAAATGCCACGGGGTGTTCCAAGCTCCAGGAACTTGATTGGCAAGTTCCTTTGGATTGTATGATTTGCACCCATGCTTTGGTGGAGCAGTCCAAAATTAGCCGTATCCACAACAGGCCCTGAACCCCCGGGAACCTTCCGGAACCTGCCCTATTTGGGTCTCTCATAGCTTTCATTTGTTGGGGAAACAAGCGTGCTTTTGTTGGTTCAGTTTTATTGTTTCCTTTACAAGGGAAGGTGTTGCTGCCAATCCCATGCCTAATTAGAGACGCACAATGCTTGGGCCTTCAGACAGAAAGATAACTTACATATTCAATGGTTGTCTTACGAGTTTGTTTTGTTAACACTTAGGCCGCACACCGAGGGGCCAGTTGCGAAATTCGTATCCATGTCTGATTTTTGAGTGTGCGTGCAAACAGGCAAACTGGGAGATAAATAGGCAACCTGACAGGAAGTCTTGAAAATGACTGCCTGTAAAAATCCGAGGGAAAGTGCGAAGCAACTGAGTTGTTTTGGGAAGGTCATTTGCAGATCACTTGGCCTGTGCATCCCCTTGGAATGACCCCCCCTGACCTTCAAAAAATGCTAGCTTGTTGGAGAGCAACGGCGACTGGTCATGAGACCAAACTCAAAGAGATATCGCATTTGTGACATGCTCCAGGCTTAGGGGGCATTTCTCAACCCAGGAATTTTGCTCAGGAACGATGAATTGCACTTGACTCTTTGAAAGACAGACTCAGACGCAGATGCGAACCCAGAGATAGACAAACCCACGCACGCATGCACGCGCGCGCGCACGAGGGAGGTTTTAGAGCTTTATGGCGGAAGCATACTTAGCTACTTGGTATAGTTTGGTTAGAATAGATGGCACTGGTTTAGATTGTCGTGTTTTCCAAAAGGTCACCTATGAGCGGGAGGTTTGTTTTCAGCAGGATTCGTATTGTCGAACAGCATTGTGTTTTCAGCACTTTATTCGATTTGCCACTCTTATCGACTTATTCCACCCGTTGATGATGTTGATGTGCTTGTCTTCTTTTGTGATATTGAGATTGTCGTGGACACAATGGTATAGTTATTTGTGCTGATTGTAGGATCTACCGACCAAATGGTTGATTGCTTGTGCCCACGCGCAGATGCCTCAAAGCTCCGTATTGCTTAGGTCCTTTGTTCCGATTGTGTTTAGTCCTGAAACAAGCGGTCCGGGCCCAAAGAGCGTGTTTCATGAGATGACCCTAGTCCTGAACGGGGAGTGTTTTTTTCATGACGCCGTTTTGTCGGTCAGGGAAACTGTGGAGCCGCTCCTTTGGGGGAGGTCCATGGTTTTCCCCATTTCCAAACGAAGATTTAAGAGAGCCAGAAGCAGCAACTGGACGAGAACCTCAAGGATTCCGGACGGATCCATCCGTTCGTTTCGTCGCTTTTTGTTGGGAAGGCTGCTGGCTCGGCCTTGGGCGGTGAGCCGGGAGCTGAGCAGAGTGCGCGTAAGGCTCAATTGGTTGATCCTTGGACTTCAGTTTGAGACGCTGACGAAGTGGAGCTGAGGAAACTGCCAAACCTGGGCTTTTTGTTTTAAAAGTATTGTTCTTTGGAGAGAGAGATTGATTATAGCTGGGGGATTCCGCTGACAAACCTGGACTCTTGTATGCTGTTTGTGAAAGCTTCAAGCCGGCTGTTGACGTGGTCGCAGGTCATGCACTTGTCGGAGTTGCGCTGGCTTCCTGAAACTCTGTCACACCACAACTTTCGTGGAGCCGCGAAATAATACGACTCATAAAGTAAGATTGTCAGGGTTTTCATCACTGCGGCATATTGAATCCGAAGATGGGCTGGACCAACACAGCCCGCAGGTTTGCCAACCGCGAGACTTTTTGGCCAGGTTCTTTCGCAGGCACCTTAGAAAGGATGTGGGTTTCAGATTGACAAGATTGATTCCGCAACCAACAGGCTGTAAGACCTTTTGAATCAAATTCAGACTGGCTTGAAAGCAGTTGGCTGTGCCCAGTCGCTCCAATTTCAGTATGCCTGTGACCCACGACCTCGGGACAGCTTGCACTGGTTAGCCGGTACTGGTCCTGCTGTAAAATGCTTGCATTTGTGAATCAGGGGCCAGGGGTGTCGAGACGCCATTCGTGGCCAAGCAGCTCTGCCAAAAGTCGACCATTCCGACGGACACATGGGGTTGGCAAGAAGATGACCCCTTCTTGGACGGCCGCCTCCACATGAACCTGTAAAAAGCTGTTTCTTTAGTTTCCCTTCAAACAGAATTCCCTTCAGCACCCCCGGCACAGCCTACCAGTGGCCCGTTTGGGGCTCACCGCGTCGAGAGTCGAAAAAGGCGGCGGCTGCTGCAGCTGGCTTGGGGCACCGCCGCAGTGGGCGACGTGGACTTCGGGGCCAGGCGCGACAAGGAAACATATGCAACACAATTATGTGAGTCTATATACTCCGAAATAAGTTTCTGGGGTAGGCTGGATGATATGGAGCAGAATTAAATGTATGTCTAGACTCCAAAACAGGTTGCAACAGAATCAGTTGTTGTTCCTTTTTGGAGTTCCCCACACGCAGACCAAGGTTGGTCGCTGCATGGCTGTATCCCCAAACAGGTCGCAACAGGACCTTAAATGACTGACCCACTTCATGCCAATCTTCCCTGAAGAAACCGTGTCGGTGCGTCTGTCATGAACCAGCACCCGGCTCCCAACCACTGCTTTTTGGACATTGCCAAGCAGATTTTGGACATGCGAACAACAAATTGGTGGGGGGGTTCTGGATTCTAAAGTTTGGTTTGCTAAGCGCTTTCCTTTGCGCGACCACTCTTCGGTGCGATCTCCTTGCGTTGGATTTTGGCGAGTTCTATAGACACGCCTTAGACCGCGTGGAACCGGGCTTGACGGCACGCCATGCAGGTGTGCAGGCGTTCGGCGTGCGGGAATGTTGGTGTTTGTTTTTGCGTGCTTTTGTTTGTGATTGTGTGTTTTGTGTACTTCCACTTGTGTGTGTGTGTGTATAGTCTGTCTCTGTGTTTGTGTTGCCTGTGTGCCTGTGTGCCTTCGTGTGTGTGTGTGTGTGTTTGTGTGTGTGTGCTCGTTTGTGTGTTCGTGTGTTTGTGTGTTTGTGTGTTTGTGTGTGTGGGCGTGTGTTTGTGTTTGTGTGTTTTGTGGTTGCATTTCAGTTGGTGTGTGCGCACATTGGTTGAGAAGAGTGCTGAACGTTACTCATCCCCATTACTATGTATACAGTACGGAACGCCCAAGTTGATAGAACTGAAGGGGATGCTCGGAAACCTGAAACCAATCTTACATGGCCGGGTCCTTTTTGACGCCTTGCTGGCCAGTGGGACTGCAATAGAGCAGTGAAGGATTTGTGCCCCTTGTTTTGCTTTGTGGATAGCATGTTGCGTTTTTGGAAGCGAAGCCAATTAAGTTGGACACATATCACATCGATTTCTGCACCGTCGTATATGTATATGTGCCATCGCCCATTGCTGGAGAGTGCTCCGTTTGGAATTGGAGCTATTTGCGAGTTCCCTTCTTTTGATTGATCTAGGGGTTGATTCCCCTTTTTTCAATGATCGTTCTTTTTAATAACCAGCTGTTTGCCCCTGGGTTGTTGAACTGCAAAGAATGGAGAAGCTTCCCCTATTGTGAGGAAAGACAGGTCAAATTTATGCACCTGTTGATAAGTGGTTCCTCCCATTCAAATCAGGTTTCACTTCTCACTGGTGCGAAGCGGGTTTGATCCACAGGGTCCACTTATGGCCCTCACTTGGCTCAACTCACGGAATTTCCCCGCAAAGGGCACGAAGCCTGAATCGAGTTTTCCCCAAACCAATCCGACTCAGGTCACCCACCAGCATGTCAAGGGCCCCCGTGCCCCGGATATCCAAAAAGCTAGGGACTACAGCCAGTTTGTGGGGGCTTCGGTTTCTTTGTGTCTTTCTTCGGGGTCTCTTTGGGCTGACGTCAGCCCAAAGGTATACGGTAACCCATTTTGACACCGGGTTTTGATTCTGACTCATTGGGGCATGTTCTTTAAAGGGGGAAAACACCCCTAAAATGGATCAAACTCTTGGTGTTCCTTTTGGCTTCCCTTCAAAATCGGCCACAAAAGCGGGGACCAACTCAACTCCAAAAACGAGCCACCCAGTTGACCAAAAAATGTTTGCTTCGACGAGGACAGAGCAGTGCTTTGGAGGGCGCCCGTTCTTCCACTGCCTCGCCACGCTGCTGGCCGATCCCTGGTGGTGCGGAACCCGTGGGCAAAAAGAAACAGACTCTCTTCCAGTAAGGTGGAACCTCAAAAATGCGTGCCAATCTTTCCAACATGGGATCCCTCACATTTATGCCTTTGCAGATGTGTGTTTGTTTCGGGGGTTCGTGTGTAGAGTTTGGCTCGTGCCCTGCTATTGAATGTCCGGCGGGTTTGTCCCTGAGAGCGATTGTACCAATGGGCAACAGGCTTAGTATGTTTTCGTACACAAACACACGGATCAATGACTGAAATGTAACGCAAGCCGGCGTTCATGTGAGTTTGTTCTAGCTACGCCATGCGGGTAGCCCGAGGTGCCCGAGCCATAGGGCTTTCGCCTGTTTTCTTAATTTCCATCAAAGCCTTGGCTCTGGACAGTTGGCCGAATCCAGGCTACAAGTAGTTTGCAGAAGCCAATGACACTTCCAGTTGTGAGAACTGGTCACACCAACATGGAGGTGCAGCACCGAAACTTGAGTTTCTGTTTTGTTGTTTGCAAATGTATTGAAGTTTAGTATTCGGAGGAGCCTTGTCCAAAATTCGCCGTTTTGCTACAAAACGATAAAGAAGAACCAACACCGAACAATAAGGAGCGTGAGAAGCAGCCTTGTCAGCTGGGAAACACAGCTTGTTGGAGAGCAAATCCATCGTCATTTCACGTGCAAGGAACGGGCCTTGCTGGGATGGATGCTTTTGATAAGAGATCTAGAAAGAACGTTCGCCGGACGTTGGAGAATTTGTGAGACTGATTCAGCATGTAACAAATCCGAGATTGCAACACCTATCATTCATATATCCACACATGAACGTGTGCTTGTGACGATTAAATCAAGTCTGTAATAGTTGTGAGTTCAACATAGTGTTTTTCCCCACATGAGCTGTTGCTGAATCGGTGGAAAACTTGTCCATGATGGAATTGCTACATTGTACTCGGCAAATGGCAACCATATCAAAGCCGCAAGCCCCAAGCATTCCTAGTAGACGCTTTTGGTGTCAGCAGCTCAGTTGTGCTCCAGGCCACAGGATGAAAAAAAAGTCGGACCCTGTTGGATGGTTGTAAAATGAAAACAAAATGAAACCACCTACCTGCAGGAGTTGGTCCACAATTTTTGAGAGACACCCCTTTCGACTTGCCGACACTGTCGAAAGCTGCGATCAGAACGTCAGTTTGCGTGTCGGGCCAATATGTTCTATTATCTCTGTTTCATTATCGCGAATACAAATTCCCTAGCTTATGAATGATGATACCAGATTTATGTAGTACATAACATATTTATATATACATACATACGACATGCACACATAATATAACTTGTTGTATATATACAAATATGCATACACACCACATGTATACATAATACATATAGAGAGAGAGAGAGAGAGACACCATATATCATATTACGTGTATTTATATATATATATATATATAATATATACATATTACACCACATACATATGGCTTCACAAGATATCTCTGACTTCTTCTGGGTCTTTTTGCTGAGCGCTCAGCCCTTCCATTTGGGCGCTTTACTCGCCAGGTGGGCGGACACCACCTATCCGGCGATCATGGCTGCTCGCCTTCAATCGAGATGCTCCATTCGCTGCGCCAAATGGGGTGTCCCTCCCTCCCATTAAACGTTCGAGGGTCCATGTGACAGCAAAATGAATCCCCTGTCAGGTTCCATGTTGATTGGGAGGGTATCTCAAAAAGGGAAGCCCCCCAAAATTGGTTGGTTTTCTTTCGGTTCCTTCAAAACCAACCAACAGGAGGTTCCCCAAGAAAAAAGACACACCCAAATGGGGATCGAGATCTTTATGTTAGTCCCTTTTGGGTCTCGCCGGTAGAGCGGATACCTGTTTCCAAGAGTACGCTGGAGACTGGATCCTGGTTCGATGTTCCCATGTTACGCATACACGCTTCGGGCCTGAATTCCGAGCCAGGATCCCTTGGCAAAGTCCTTTGTCTTGAGTTTAAGGATTGCCGTCGATTTGACCTTTCGTGTTTCCTGATTTGGTCCATATTTAGTCATGGTCGCAAAAGGTGATCACCTTTTATTTCTGGTTTGTTTGGGTAACTGAGTTCCAAGTCACGAGACAGCTGAAAGCCACTCAAAGACAAAGTGCTTCCCACGGAAAGAAACACCTTGGTCGCAGAACAGGTCGTCACCGAGTCTCCTGAAGATTATGAAACCAACGAGCACATGAGTGGAATCTCCCGACGGTCCAGACCCCTTGTTTGAGTTTCGTCTTGAATTCCAGGGTTTCGTGCAGAGTACTATGGCTGTGGGTCAAAAATAGGTACCCAAAATGGAACCCTGGTAGAAGGAAGCATGGAGTAAAACCTGCGGTCCCCTGGAGGTTTAATTTTGACCCACAGCCATATGTGTGAGTCTGTGTGCTCACTTCAGCCCATCGCCCGCATTTCAGGTCTGCCCTTTTCCCGATGACCTTCGCTCAGCGCTGTCTCAGCTGGATGCGACTCGGCAACATCTTGCCGTGCTGTGCGCAACATGCTGCATCTGGTTGTAGCCGACCTAGGTTGAACACCCAACAATCAGCAAATTGAGATGGCAAAAGGCTAACAAATGCATGTGTCTGACATCTCAACGCGTCAAGTGCTTGAAGGATGTTTCAGGTCAGAAGCATTCTGCAGTGCCACAGCTTTGTGAGAGACGTTGAGGGGTGTCGGCTGCATTTTTCAGCATCTAATCGGTTCATGGGCAGTAACGTTTACTTGGGATCATTCCGGAGCACCGTACCATTCAAACCCACTGCAAGCCGAGATGCTATGTCACTGGTCATCCTCTAGCCATCTCGCGTTCCATGCTTCTCAGTCAAAATGACCTACCTGGCTTTGTTTGTCTTAAACTCTGAGGACCCCCAAAAAAGGCTTTCTTCCTTTTGGCGTCCTTTTTCAACACCAAAGCCAGCACCATCCTTTCCCCGCCCCCATCCCCAACCCCTGCCATTCTCCACAGGTCTCGGAGCCCTTGGCCCTGCAGGAAGGCAGGGACAATGGGTTGTGTCCTTTTTGTGGCAGCCCAACATGGATCAAAATGGTGGTGCCTTGTTTGATGCCGCTCTTATACTAGCAATGGTAGTAGTAGTAATCTTAGAAGTAATGAGAAGAAGAGCAAGAAGAATAATAAGAAGAGGAATAGTAACAATGATATGATTAATTGCAATTATATGTGCCATTATGATTAGTATGATTACAAATGTAGGTTCAATTGTAACAATGATCGTGATCATGATCATGATCATGATAATCATAGTAGCTAACACATACGCACATATGGGGTTGTTTTTGTTTGAGAGCAACTACTCCCTTTTGAGGGTGGTTTTAAAGGGAAACCAGAAGGGAGCCACCCCAATTTGCCCCGGAATGGGGGGGAAAACCCTATTTTTGACACATATCCATATGCACATATGTTCCGGATTACATCTTCTAGGTTCCCTCTCCCCCCAGGGTTGGTTAAGGGCTGGTTTGGGGTAGGTTAAGGGTTGGCTAAGGGTAAGGGTTGATAGTTGTATGGTGTTGTCCCTTTGTGTGTTCCTTCAGCATAAGCCCAAAAAGGGTACCCTCAAAAACTGCACCCATATGGTGTGAGTTGAAACTGGGGGAGTGCAGTGTATTTAGGTGGGGACTAATTTCCACCACACTTGGGCAGGCTTCCTTATCAGAATTCACAGCCATGTTGCTTTGCCTCAATGAAGTCTTGCCCAGTGACAGTCCTTACTTGTGAGCTTTGGCAGTGTCGTACGACTCTTATTCTTCGGTCTTGATGGATGCTTTTGCGGGATAGGACACTCTTGGGAAATTTATGAGATACGCCGCAGTCGGCAACAACTCGTGGGTGTCTTTCTCCTTTGTCACTTGTGTTTCACTGGATTCAGCTTTGCTCATGCCGGGCTCGCTTGTTTTTTGGCCGTAGCCGGAAGACCTTTTGCCTCAGCTTTCCTTCAGCTTCCGGTTGGCCGTTTATCGGCCCCCTAAAAGACCGGGCCAACCACCGAAGTCAAATGTCCAAACACCCAACGACATTGGGGGCTGACGCCTCAGATTTCGTGAACTTTGGAAAATCTGGGCTCGTCCGCTCATTCGATTGACTGTCGCCCGTCCAGCCAGTTCCCTACTGCCTGGTTGACATATCCAGCTTCAATCCACGGCGCTAAAGGCAAACCACGGGACGAGAAGGCAGGACGCCCAGCTGACGTGAAGTTCTTCACGCCACTTCACAGTTGGTGACAGTGTCGTTAGTCAATGTTTATTTGCAGGCCAATCCTATTGTTCTCCCGTAGGGTTAAACCCTATGAAAGAAATGGTTGACCAAATTTAAATCATGCCAATCCTTGGATAAACAATCATGGTTGTATTAACCCCCATTATTTTAATGGTGGTTTGAATCCCATGGAACTATTGTGCTCCCTGCAACAAGCTTATTCTGGCAAGGTTTCCTGCATTTCTCTTTTGGAATCTCCAAAAGTTGCAGTTTTGTGTTAGTTGAAACCACCAGTAGATTGTTCAACTTGTGAATGGGAATTCCAGTGACCCAGTAGCTTTTTTTGGCGCTACATCGGGACTTGGGTCTTGGATTGAGCTGAAACTTGGATTCAGCCTCGAACGTTTTGAACTTTGACTCGTCTCCTTGTTGGCGTTCGTCAAAGTCGGCTAGTTTTCTTTTTCAAGAATAACACAAACACCTAAACCCGTCAATAACAGTTCTTCACAGTTTTGCGGGTGAAGTGATGACATGGTTTGTGTTCTTGGTGAAGCACCGGATGCGGCCATTTGAGGCCGAGAAGCTTCTGGCCTCAGCCACGTCCATTGGCGCTGCAGTCAAGGAGGCCGGCGCGCAAGACCGTTCGGCCTGGGAGGTCTCCAGCGAAAGTCCACGGGGAAACCGAAAGAAAAAGGGTGGCGGGTCTCATGTGTTGCGTGTCCCTGAACATGGCCATTACTCTCCTGTTTAGGCTTTTACGGAAAAACAGGACCAAACCAATAAGGGGTACCAAGTCCAAACGAAGACGCTTCCCAACCCGTGCCATGTGAAGGAAACAACAGTTTGGTTCTCTTTAATTCGGATTCGGTTGAAGAAGGACCCAAGCGGCACTTGGGAGGGCCACCATGGGACTATGCATGGTAATTGGTGATGTGGAGCCAGGAGACAGACATATTGAAGACGTGGCCTCAAGCTTCAACTTCTTGTTTCCCCTGGCCCCGAGGCCCATGGCAACTCATCTTTGACCCGGTTTGGTTCATGTCTTCTCTCCGGAGGCTTAGGCTCTTGTGGGTGTGATGCTTGGCGATCCGATCGGGATAAGCATCTGACGTTGGCATGTTGGCGTAGGTGAACTCATTCAATGTCAGAGGTATTGGCGTTTGACGATTCACTGGGCAATCTACATGAAAGGTTTCGGCGAAATATTGTTACCTTGACACAATGTGCATAGCAAGACTTTCAGCTGAAACGCACAAGAGCACGCCATGTGGGCTGGATCTCGTGAGTGGGTCGGCTTCAGTCCTTGGAGCGTGCTGGAATGCGCATATACAATACTGACTTTGCCTGCTGATTGTAAGTGCAAGGTGCTGGCTCACATAAGCCCCTGCCCTTTTGCGAATCGACCTTTTGAGCTGTCGGTTTCCCTTTGGTTTTCATCTGCTGATGCTCAGGGAATGACCGAGACCGGGTGTTGGGAATAAACCGGAAGGGGAGTCCCTTACAGGATACCTAAAGGGGTCGGAGTACGTCAGGTAAGTGGTTTAGTAAGCCTGGTTATAACCCACTGAACGGAGACTTAGAACCATGGCTTTTGTGGGACCTCTTTTTCCCGGGGGTCATTCCATGCCTCATTCGACTGCATCTCTGGAGCCCGGCCCAGCTGCCCAGCTGCCCAGCTGCCCAGGCGCTGGTGAAGCGGGGCTTGCTGCCTGCTGAGCTGACGGAAAGCCTAGGCCAGATCTGATCCCGGGGGTCTGAGGCTTGAAGCTGCCAGTTGATTCATCTCTTGGTCTTCGGGTGCTAGGAAAGCCAGTGGGATTTTTTTTTTCTCCGGGGTGGTTTTCGGGCGGTTTTCGGTTTTTTTTTTTTTTTTTGAATGGAATGACCCAGGGTTTGTTGTAGTACAGAAGTTGTCCATGGATGCGGGCAAGACTCGGATGAACCACAGGCGCTGACTTGTATTGGAGATTGGCTTGAACGCTTCAAGCCGCATGGCTGCGGTTGTTTTGGCTAACCCACGGCGCCGTTGAGGAACGCCAGGGCGTTTTGGCCCAATTTGCGATGTTTTTTCTGGTAGGTTGGCATCCACCAGTTGCCAGTTTCTCTAGGGCACCCAAGCAGCGTGTGTTCCCTGCCCAAAGCCCTTCCTAGTCAGTTTGGTAGGGGGACACTATGAGTCGAGTGAGGCATTTCAGATACCCAAAGCCTGTTGGCTTTCAAAATGATGGATTTAAGGAGGGCCGCGTGTACTTAAGGGTGGGCTGCTGAACCCAATGGTTTTCAAAATTGTGTGTTTTTCGCAGCTGAACAGCCCAAAAAAGCGTTTTGTTTGGGAACAATGCAAAAGACGGACTTGATGGCATTGCCTCGTTGGAGAATTGGTATAAACTGTGAGTGATTTCGCACACACCTCATGAAATGACCTTCGTTTGGGGCTTTCTGATGCGGATCACACACGGGGCAGAATTAGCATACTGTGAAATGTTCCGCGCAGCCTTGGCTTGGGATGTTCTGACTCAGATCACACATGTACCTGTGAGTGATTTCGCGGCGGTCTGAAGGTCTGACGGTCTGACAATCCTGAATGAGTTGCTGGTGGGTGTATTTGAAAGGGCCGCATGATGTTGGCAAGCAGTTGTTTTGTTTTACTTTCTGGCGGTGTGGTTGCGACAACCGACTGACTGATTGATGTGCTGGTTTGTGAGGTGGTGGCACACGCAGGTTACCAGGTGTTTGCAACTTTTGGTTCAGACCAGACAATTTCAGCGATGTACTTTTGAAGACCAGGAGTCAGCTGTCCGTAAACTTCTGTGTCATCACAGTTGCTCTGTGAACAGCCACCAACTGGATTAAGTACTTGAAATACACAGGACGAAGCTTTTGATTACAGTCCGAGCGAACTACCCACGGCAGTCCACCTTCTCTCCGGCCCCGCCAAGAAATCCTTCAGACAATGAGCCAATTTCTGGAGGACCCCCTCAGCGCCAACACAGTTCCTTAAGTGCAGCCACAATTCCTCAAGCGCAGCCCATTTTTTTTACGCGCAGCCAGAGTTCCTTAAAGAAAAGTCCTTAAGTGCAGGGTTAATCAACTTAAATTCAGGGGGGGTGCACTTAAGGATTTTGGCCCCTGCCCGAGATGGAACTGGGGGTGTCCTTAATGACCTTAATGGTTTTCAAGCTAAAAAATGCTGTGAGACACTAAATTCACCTACTTTCATCTTGGGCAGGGACCAAAATCCTTAAGTCCACCCGTGAATTTAAGCCAATTAACCCCGCACTTTTGGCTGCACTTACGGAATTTTGGCTGTACTTGAGGAATTTTGGCTGCATTTACGGAATTTTGGCTGCACTTAAGGAATAAAGAATTTTGGCTGCGCCTGCGCATTTGCGATCCTCTAACTTCGCCCCCCTGAGTTCAAGCTAGCCAACCATGCACTAAGGGTTTGCGATCCCTGAAGTTCACCCCTTCCCCCCCTGAATGTAAGCTACTTAACCATGCGCTTAAGCAATTTGGGTTGCACCTAAGGATATGCAATCTATCTAAGTTCACCACCCCTAAGGATTTGCGATCTCATAAGTTCACCCCCCCTGAACTTAAGCTAATTGTTCCTTAGGGAATGTTGGCCGCGCCTGAGGAGTTGCGATCCTTCAAGCTCACCCCCCTCCCCCCCCCCCCCCGAATTTAAGCTAATCAAGTAGTTTTGTTACTTAGCTTGCATTCAGGGGGGTGAACTTAGGGAATTTTTTGCGGTGCCTAACCAATGTTTTTTTTGAGGAAGGGTTGGCCCAGGCGACCTGGCCATGCCGGGGAATTGGGTATCAGGGGTTTGGCGTGGCCACTTGTTTCCTGGAACAGATTGAGAGGGCTGGGCTTTGGCCTAGCTCGTAGCAGGCTGCCCTTCCAGCTGTGATTTGCTTCGACGAAGTCGTTCGCGCCCATTGGTGCTTTTCTATCTGGCAGCCGGGTTTCGCATTGTTTTCATGCGAGCCCAAAAGTGAAAATACACGTTCAAGCGTGCCCCGGTTCTGACACGTGCTCCGATCAGAGGTGCAGACACAGGAGCAGTGCTTAAGTACACGGGTCGGACTTCGAAATTAGCTTAAATCCATAATTCTGAAACCCCACACCAAAGCCTTCTTCTGATACGTCGAGCTTTGGACTTGGCGCTTTTGGTTTTGAGTTCCGGTTCAATACGCATAGTAACATCCGGGCCAACTAACCGCCACGTGCGGTGCGCAGTTTCCGTTCGGCAGAAGCAAACGTTTCGCATGGATCACGAGAGGCAGTTCTGCCAATTTGGGGATGGTTTTTTGAGGCTAACTATTTTTTATTTTGGGGGAAATCAATTCGGAACACCGCTACGCCAATTTGCTGGGGGGTCCCCCTGAACAAATCCTTTGGGTTTTCCTTCAAAACCACATAACACATGCATGGTCTCGCAGGCGTGCCAGCCACCTGCGGGGTGGAGGCGGAGAGGCGGCCACCGCCAGATCCGACACCCTATGGCATGGACAGGCGGGCCAAGGGGCGGAGTTGCGACAAATCCCTTGCGACCGAAAAGGTGACTCGTTTTTTTTTGACTCTCCAAAATGGTGGTTTTCTCCAACAGAATCCTTTCTTTGTTTGGTTGGACCCCTCCAAAATGGTGGGTTTCTCCGACAGAATCTTTTTTTTTTTCTGGTTGGACCCCTCCGAAGTGGTGGTTTTCTCCGACAGAATCCATTTTTTTAAGGTCGGACCCTCCAAAATGGTGGTTTGCTCCGACTCTTAAATGGTGGTTGTCCTTCAAAATCATGTTTTCCCTCCGATAAGCATTGTTGTTTAAGAACTGGGAAGCGGTGAAATGATTGGACGGGTACACATGGGTACTCTAGATTATCATGGAATCCAAGACGAAGGCAAATCCTCTTGGGTTTGCAGGGGAGTATGTGTCAAAATACGGGACCCCCTAAAATGATGGTTTTCCTTTTGCGTCCCTTTAACCCCAGAAGGGTTTGGCCAACAGATGTGTTTATCCAAATCTGGCTTTGAGCCCCTCATAGTTCTGTTTCAGGTGATTTGTTTTGAGGCGTTAAGGATTCCATCAGTGTTAAACATCGACCGCCATGCACTGCAGCAACGGGAGCCGCACTCTGGGCCTGCAGTTTCTAGCAAGTCTGCGTTTGCCAGCAAAAACTCCGATGCTCTGGACAAGTCCTTGAAGTCAATGGGAACTGCGAGCCGTTTGCAACGGAATTGCAGGATTGTCCCGTTGGCTCGATCCTGCCGAGCCGCGATCCGGAGCTTCAACAAGTCACAGCGCAGTCACAGAATGCGTGATCCTGAAAATGCTGAGATTATTAGCTGTGTCAGACAGTTGATGTGCCAAAGTGTTGGCATAGGGGCGCGTCTCTTGTTATGTGACCCCCGTTTTTCTTTTGGCTTCCCCGTAAACCCAACCGACAGGGGGGGCCCAAAAACACATATTTTTTGACTTGTCGCGCTAGTGGACAAGTCTGCACTTTTGGGCGACCCGGGCCAACACACACACACACACACCCACACACAACGCGATGCCCTACTTCTTGGTTCATAGTGGGCTGTGTGGGATCGGCCGGCACAAGCCAAGATTTGGTGGGTTTAATCAAAGTTCATCAACATCATGGCAAATGAAACAGGTTGCAGGTAGGGTGTGACATCAAAGTTCATCATTTGCTCTCTATGAGACAACATGGCAAGACCCGATGTCTGCCTCCTTGCCCGTTTCTCTTTTTCTCGCGAGGTGGGAGAAGCCTCGTTGGGAGCAAGATGTGCCGCGGTCTCGCTGGATTGTGAGCTTCCTGCAACAGGCGACCCGCTTGCCCAGCGCGGTATACTGATGACATGTATACGCATGTATATGCGTGTATATGCATAAACATGCATGTCAAGGCTGCTCCTGATTTGACCGAAGTAATCTTTGTTGGAACAATGACATGGCCACGTGTTTTGTTTGGGAACCACAGCAAAAGTGGCGGACATGAATTCCCACCTAAATGATGTCCACCAAAAGGGTCCCCCATTAAATTTCAGTGCAGAGATCAAGCCTGGTTCGGACCCTATGTGAACCCCTGGTTGATTTTGATCATGGGGGGGTTTTGTAGGAGTTCAGATCCCTGCGACTGTAGCCATTTGTACGTGTGAGTCTGGGAATAAATCTCCCCGTTTTCAAGACGAACCCTCCGAACCCAAAAAATCCAGTTTGTTTGGTTGGCCAACGTCGGAGCCGCACAGGCAACCATTGATTGACATACCTCTTCAATGGACTTAAAGCGGTGAGCAAGGTGATGGCATTGTCATTGTACCATCGCTCCAAGCAGACGGTTCTTCTTATTTCTGCAATCATCAGTGGATTTCAGTTGATTTATTGAAGAGGTACCATGGGGGTGGGTGGGGAGCTGACTGCCTTTGAGAGCCTGCGCAAAATCTTATCGCAGTTGTCCAATTCTTCCATGGAGCAGCAGGGATCTCAAGTCCAGCGAATGTGGCAGGATTCAGAGCGCCTCCATGTTTTTGAGCCACAGCCATAGTTGCGGAGCACAGCCACAAAGTGGTTTGATGGGCACTGATACTCCTTCAGTTCTCACGCTTCACTGCTGAACAACTCAATGCATTCGGAGTCTGGTGGAACACTTCCCTGGCCTACAGGCAGTGGCAGGTGCTGAGGAGTTTCAAGTCCCGATCCAAGCAGGCGCTTTTCGTTGGGAGGGACGGGGAGGGACAGAAGACGACGGGTGGCTCTTTTTGTTGAGGTGTGATGTTACACGACGAACAAACCCTTAGAAACATGCACATTGGTTCAAAGCCGAAAGGAGAACCTGCAATTGAAATTTTGAGAACTTTGTGGTGATTTCTCTCCAGTGTTACACCTCGAAAGAAAAGTGCAAGCCCCATTGATTCTCAAGAATTGCTTGAAAGGAATCATGAAGGCGCTGGCAGAGAAAGTAATCAAGACCAGCAGCTCAGCACGTAAGGTTTGTGATTGCCTGGGCTGACATAAAAACGTTGTTTGTTCATAGCCATCAACACTGCGTAATATTTTAACTGCGCAGCTCAATCTTTTTCCCATGCAAACCGTGCCAATCCATACTATGGTGTGAAAGAACTGTTTTACTTGCGAAGGCGTGCCTTTTTTTAATCTGTTCTCCAGTCAAAAAGAAACAGTAAGTCAGGTACACCTTACTTGGTTTGGATTGGTCGTTTCGGATTTGAAGCCTAGAGGCTAAACGGGGCAACGGGGCAACCACCGGGCTCCAAACCGCCAACTGGAATGAAGCTGAAGGCATGGTGTCTACTAGCTGAAGGCATGGTTTGCTTGCTTCCTTGCGACGTCCCCACAAAGCATCGGACATCGGAAGCACCGCAGCCCGACGTGGAATCAATTGGGGTGGCCAACCATTTGTGCGCCTTGGGGCTGACGAAAACAAGCATTCTTTTTTAACCGCTGGCGCTTGAAGTCCCCCTCACGTCCAAGCTTTTGTTTTGTAACAAAAGCATTGCAAACGAGAGTGCCGCGCATGTGTGTGTGTGTGTGTTTTTTGAGGGTATCCCTGTGTTGCGGCCTTAAAAGGAAACCAAAAGGAAAACCACGATGTTGGAGGGGTCCCCTAAAATAACAAACCCATTGTGCTTGCTGCATCACCCCAAGGTAGACTTGAACCAAGATAAACACTCCTGGGGAAGTGGCTGGTTTCTGAAAAGAAGGTTGGCTGAAATGGATGGACGGAATCAGGACCCCACAGCACAGGAAAGATTCGAACAGATTCGAAAGAGACCTTAGAACGGGTTCTGGATGTGTCTGTTTTGAGCGACCTCAAGCAAAAAATACATATATATATTGGTTTTCTCTTGGTGTCCCTGGAAGACCGCCCAAAAAAAAGGGGGGGGCACCCCCCAAAGAAATACCGACCAATCCTCAGAACCCTTCTGGTGTGTAGGGCTTCCGAATGTTCCGAATGTCACCCGTCAGATGGATGGGTCTTCGCCCTGGACATCTTGGGGCGGTTCCCTCAGCTGGCTGAGGCACCGAACTCTGCCGGGAAGCCATGCGGATGTCTGCTGGCGAGCCCATGGTTCCATAGGGCCATAGGGATTCCTTACATTTCTTGTTTGTTTCTCGATTCCTTGAGATGCAGACATGGATAAACATGTTCCAACATCTGGGTTTAGCCCAGGGCTTTAGGATTGTGAACAGTTGGAGGCCAGCGACTGGCTGATCCGGGGTGAAGCGCCGGGTGTGAGGATTTTGAAAATGCATCAGCGCCATAGTCATAGTCATTTTTTTTCACGAGACCAGGTTTGTGCACAGCGACTAGGAGCCATTCGGAGGATCGCTTAGCTTTTGTTAATGTAACCCGCTTACTTGCAGTTGTTTGGTTTCAGGCAGTGATTGACAGTGGAAAGACAGTTCCTCAGTGGAAACGCAGAGATTTGAAAGCTCGTTCCATGCTGCGGTCCATGTGTTTGCTTCCACACCGCCTGGTCTTGTTCAGGCAAGCCTTTGCTCAGCTTGAGGTCAAGTAGTTTGGTACGCTTTCGCAAGCTGAGGACAGCAAGAGCAGCCAATGAAACGTACAAGGCTTGTCCCAAACTCCATGTTTGCCACTGTATTCTTTCAAGCTGCCAACGGCAGGGTTCTTTGGTTCGAGAGGTTTCTGTTTGACTTTGTGTTTTTGGTAACTGCAGGGGTTCCCTTGTCCAGGGAGCAAAATCTGAACAAAGTAAGATGGTTGATCCACAGCCTCTGCAAAAACCTTCGGGTGAAGCACCTAAACCAACCATTGACCAAGTCCTCGAGTTTGGGAGGCCAAAAATAGTACCCCAAATGGAACGCTGGTAAACGAAACAAGGACCAAAACCTGCGGGTCCCTTTATTTTCATCCATACCCAAGTCGTGCTATTTGTCTCGGTCCAGGGTACCCTGTCTGAAAGCAACCTCTTTGGGGGGATGTCCCAGAAAGAACCTCTCAATCCACAAGTGTTGCAGTTTGTTCCATCGAGACCGTCTCTACGAAACACCTGTCTCGCAGTCCAGCGGATCTTGCGGGGTCTGCGGTGTCCGTTTACGAGTCAGAAACAAACGCAGATATTGGTTTCAATAGAACCTTGAAGCCGCGTTCCTTTTCTCTCTTTTTTTTTTGCGAAGGGGGTCCCTTCAACTCCACATAACTCAACTATTTTAGCCAAGACAACGGCACCCCCCTCATTTCCCCCTATGCCCAGTGCACATCCATCGTTTCCTCTTCCAGACCATCGACGGTGGCGGAGAAGCGCACTTCCTTTTTTTCTGGCTTGCCGCAGCATGTCTTTTTCTTTCAAGGCCGACTCAGCATTCAATGCGAGTTTCTTTCTTTGAGGGTACCCTTTTTTGGGTTGGTTGCAAGAAAACCCAGAGGGAACGCGACGATTTTAGGGGTATCGATTCCTATTTCGCACAACCAAACAGGGTTTTGCCCCATTGACGCCGCAGGCGTGCTGGAGCAATGTGCACATCTTGTCTCGGCTCCTGGCCAAAGACCCGATCAGGCCATCTAGGGTGTCCCTTCGAAACAGGAGGCAGACACCAATCTCTGTTTACCCTCCCCTCCTCTCCCCTCCCCTCCCCTCCTCTCCCCTCCCCTCCCCTCCTCTCCCCTTCCTCCCCTTCCCTCCCCTCTTTCTCCTTTTTGTAGCGCGGGGCATTGATTAGGACACACCTTATTATGCTTTCCCCATGAAAAGCCAGAGACTCCCTTCTTCAGCCTCTCGCATGTTCGAATGTTCGGCGAAATCCATTGCGCGAGGGTCACGGATCCTTATGCCCTTATGGGGTTGGACACCGAGAAACCATGGCCGCTGGAATTAATTCTATTGGGAATGAGGGATAGACTGCTCTTTGTTATGCATGCGCTTTCTGAAAAGAGAGAAAAGAGAGAGAGAGAGAGAGAGAGAGAGCGATAGAGAGAGAGAGAGTCAGATGCTTGGATTTGGCATAGCAAGTGCCATGATGGCAAAACTACACAGCAATGGTGCTTGAGTTGCTTTCAGAAAATAAAGCCATATTTTGCGAGGCAGCAGGGCGCTTGTTCCCTGCTGAATTGCAAGTACCGTTGGGACGGCCCCTGCCACGCCCACGGCAGTTGCTCATCGCCTGCCTTTAAATGATGTTCGTCCAACTTGCCGGACATTGTTTCCTGCTTCATCAAAGCCGCCAGCTTGTCCTTTAGTGCGCTTTGGGTTTTGTGAGTCACCCTTTCAAGCTGCTTTTCAGATTCAGACCAACACACATACCATCCTTCATGTTATTCTCTTGGGCGCTCGAAGCTCACCACGAACTGGGAAGTTACCTTCAGCGAAGCGCAGGTCGCTGGAGGTGAAGGTCGTCCGGAACCGGGTGGCAATGCGGCGCGCAGGGAGGGATCGCGGAAAGAACAAGGGACGAGAAACCAGAGCTCCCTGTGATCCCCACCCCGTTTTGGCCAAAACTCTTGAGGGATCCCCTGTATTTGATTTTATTTTCAGGGAGGGGGGGGGCCAAGAAAAACATCCTGACGGGAAAGATCAGAAAGTGTGACTGACTGTTCATATGGGTTGTTGAAGAGATCCTGGTCGGTCATTTCCCTTTAATCGATAGCGACCTGACCAACTGAACATTTTAGCAAGCAAAATGTTATTATGTTGAGGTCCACAGTTTCGGGGCCCGCATATGTTGTTTGTTGTTTCCCTATGTTGATCGAGGCGTTTTGCTGCGTGGTGGGATATCCAAGCGGCCAGGTCAGTCGAGCCGACGGTTGGTCGGGCCATGGGAAAGTAAACCCTTTTTGTCAGTTTGACCCCCTGCAAGCAAGCAGGCAAGCAAGGAGCGCCCAACACTGAGATTTTGTCGAGGACCCTAATGAATCTGGAGCTTCGGTCCTCATTTTTACTTCTGGCCCCTTCCCCAATTGAACTGGAAACAGGAACTTGGAGAACCTCTGTTTTTGCCTTCCCCTCTTCCGGGCATAGGACTTGAAATGGCAACAGCAGTTTTTGGTTTTGAGCCCAAAAGGCCCTGTTTAGTAGCGATAAATTGTCTGTTCCTGAATCGGGGGGGGGGGGGGGCTGGCCTCCACAGGGGGCACGGTTGAAGGGCCTCCGAGCTTACAATGCAGGTTGAGGGAAGCACATGTGTTTGGAAAAGTTAGGTTTAACTATACTGTCATCATGCCCAATTCACATGTTGGAATTCCTAAGAAGATGACCCTACAAATTTCTTGGATTCAAACACATGGAATCGTATTGAGAAGGCAGAAACAGCACATTTAGTGGAGGGTGCTACATGTCCATGGCATGTTGCGCATGTATGTATATATAAATATACAATTCATATCACACCTTGATTCAAATATCAGGTGCAACATACGCATGTCTAATTTTCTTAAAAGGATGCCACGGGATGGATATGTGTCCTTGCCCCCCAGCTTAAATATGAGTCAAATGACGCTGCAGAGGCGTGTCTCTGCCATGGATCGGCTCCAAGCCTTCGTGGAGGCTTCGAGTGCCGCGCGAGAGAACCGCCTAGCGCCGCCGTCCTAATTTGTTTTTTATCCAACAATAAACGGAAACCATGTACCCTCCCACCCACAATCTAGGCAAAATCTAATGGGCCTTATGAATGAACCCTGAATTTGTCCCACTTGCATACCCCTTACATCCCCTAAGTGGGACAAATAAAGAGTCCATTCACAAGGGCCCAGTAGATTTTGCCTAGACACAAAGACTACTTTTCTTCAAAGGGACCCCTGGTGGTTGGTGGACCAGAGACCATGTTTCTCAAGTTGCCAAACGACCTGTTGAGTCTGACCAACCTTTTGCCAACCCAAAACTACAACCTTTGCTGGTTCCCCCAGTGGCTTCGTTGCAACTGTGCTGTAGAGCTCCAATGCAAAAGGCAGACCTGCCGATAATTATCTTCGGAGACAGCTGTGAATCGTGGATTATGAGTTGCGTTCAAATAAAATGCATGTTAGATGTGGTTTGCACTTCTGGCACCTAACACGGGCTACAAGCAGCAACCCCCTAGAGAAATGTCAAGTTTTTTAATGGTAATGGAGCGGTCTGCTTTGTAGGTGTTGCTTTGTTTCGGGTTTCACACGACTTGCAGCTTTGTGGTTTGCTCTCGTTGTCAATCAAGTGCTTAGCCTTTGAATTCCAGGTGTCTATGAATTTAAGAGGTCTCGGATTGAAAGATGGCAAAGCTCCATCCATCGAAGGGCGACTCCCTCTCGGTGGCACAAATCGGAACCCCAGATGAAGTTAAAGCACTGGTTGATTTTCAGAGATGGGTGTATTAATATGACGGTCAACATGATCTGAGCGCTTCATGAATTGTTGCTTTGGGCCCGCTTTCTGAGCCCCCCACAGACATGCGTTGCGTTTGCCCAAGCCAGGCCTACGTCTCCGGTCTTCCTCCCGAGACCAAGCTGCCAGTTGCAGAGTTGCTTTGCAACGAACACGTGACTTTGGCTGAAATGCGAGTTTGCCTTCGGACGATTGCAAAGACAGTAACTGGGCAGGTTGTGGCATTACTCTTGCTGGGCTTGTTGTTTGTGCAACGAGCGCCGCTGTGTGTGTGTGTGAGTGTGTGTGTGTGTGTGAGTGTGTGTGTGTGTTTTAGCTGTTCATTTTGCGGCTTTTGTTATGAAGAAGAAGCTTGACTGCATAGGGCACTGGTGATGTGCCATTGCTCATATCCACACATAAATGCCATGAGGTTTACAAGGGAAGCCTTTGGACATCGGAATTCGGAGACGCCCGAGTGGTTTTCTCTTGGTTTTCCCTATTGTGTCGGAATGCTATCCAAAAAGGATGGTAATTACTGAGTTCGGCCGAGATGATGAGTCTAGCCGCATGGTTGGAGCGAAGCTGAATCACTGAAAGCGCCTGCAGATGCTCCGATCTCCTTGTGATGCAGGTTTTGGATGTATAGCTTTGTTGCGCTGTTGATCTGGTGTGCTGTGTCGAAATGGTTTCGGCTCTGGAGAGAACTTGCTTGCTGACTCTTGGCAACTTCGAGTGTACCGTGAATGGCCGAAGGCTTGCACCGGTTGGGATCTGTGACTGCAATTAGCCCACTGGTGCAGGAGTTTGTTGGTATGAGGAGTCGGGGCAGATTCATGGCCATGGAGCCACGGCGACTGCGAGTTGCGTCAACGGAAATTCGGTCTCCCGTGTTTGGTAAGTAGAGGGGACGGGTCAGAAGGGGCGGATTTCCAGCAGCGCAGCCTCTTCTCTCGGTGCCGGCGGATGGGAGGCAAGAGGCTGTTTTCGTCTGAATTCGCCGGTCTTTATTGTTTCTTGGACAGTTGTTTGGGCGCCAATGCGCGCTAGCTCCGTGCTCGGGGCATCACGACTGGCTGTCGTTGCATTTCATTACCTACGTCAATGGCAGCATCGCTGCCGCTCGAATTTTCAGGAACGTGCTGGGTGTGCAATGAGAAATCAACGCAAGTTATGCCCCGGCGAAGTGACCAAGAGGTGGGGAAGAGGGGCTTTATCAGCTGATTGAAGACTACTTTCGACGTGCATCCGCAACAAGATGCCAAACTGAAAAAGCAGATAGAAATAATTTGACGTGTGCTAACTTAGAGACACCTCTTTTTTTTCTGCAAAATGATAAGAGCACCGGAAGGTTGCGAGGGGTCAACCCCCAATTCGGGCACGCCACACAAATTGCATCCAGCTGTTATGAGAGTATGTATCGAAAGAGGGGACTCCCCCTTTAAAACCACACTCAACTCAGCAAGATCCCGAGTTTGACACTTGCCACAGACCCAAGAAGGTGGTCAAATTGAACAATTGGACAAATTACTGGCACTTTGCAGATTCTGTCGTGCATGCTCCAAGGTGAAGCGCCTTTTCAATGGGCCGGGGCCTCGTGTTTGGAGCACACACAGTAATATCTCTCCAGTCTTGAGTATTTTTCAGATCGCCGCACGCGCTTCCCTATCCAAATTGGGGTTTGGATCGATTGTTCAATGCCCCTGGTTCTTGTAGAGGGCAACTGGACAGCCACCAACCCACTACCGACCCACCGGGCTCGACGGCAGGGTGGAGCTGCCTGACAACCCCGAGAAGTCGCTCTTGAGGTGCTTGAGGCGCGAGTGGCTCACAGGTTTGGACCTGTCCTACCCGTGCACCACTTCCATTTGCTTAATAATATTTTTCAATATTCCCCTTTTGGTTTTAAAGGGAATCTATCACTACTGGATATTTTGTTTGTTTCCGGGGGCTTAAGCAAATGGAGGACCAATCTCTGCATAGGTTGATCCGTTCAGTCTTTACAGCAAGAATCCTCACATGCAATCCAGATTCTGCGGGCTGACGAGGTGTGTGTGCGTGTGTGTCAATTTCACATATTTGCGTGCTCGGGCACAAGGACTGTCTGCCTGGTTGGCGGCTGGTTGGCTTTTTGAGGAGGACCATGGGCGTTGGTGAATTGTCATTGTTCGACCTGGTCTTCAGAACAACAGTAGTGTGGGTATTACAACTGAGCAGCAATTTGAACACCGTGGTGTTAAGTAGTGTGGGTATATACGGTATACCCTTTCTTAGAGGGCAAACTTGCGTTGGGTATTCAAACGCGTGCTTTGAAGGAGAGCATGTCTAGATTAAGTCTCCTGGCTTATTGCGTGAACTGGATACAGCCACGGTTTGCATTTCACAGAGTAAGCTTACTTGGGTAACACACGAATTCCAGGCAAATTCTACCTAATGAATGGCACATTGGTGGCTTTTGCTTGTGTCATTCGCAAGCATCACGCCACTAAACAGGCTGCATGAGGAATGGCGGTTGCTTGTGTATGCTTTTGTTGGATTCCGAAAGGGTGAATAGCCTTGCCCGGTTTGGTGAAACAGTGTGCTTTTAGGATTTGGACCACCTGTTAAGGCCAACCGGCCAACCCCAAAAAGGGTACCTCAAAAACAAGGACACCCATACAGGAAGAGGCATGTTGCTTGCTTGCTTGCTTTGGCGGTTTTCTTGTTGTCAGCTGGTCATCGCATCGCGCAATCCATTGAGCCACGGAGTTCCTGGCGACCGGAGCCAGCGCTGCAGATGCCAAGTCTTGCAGGCCCCCAACTTGGTTCGCTGTCTTTGGCATCATGATTTTCGCTGTTTCTTAGGGTTATCACAGTCAGAATTGGGGGGGGTTCCCCTAACCTACTACTTAGGGGCTGACTTTGATCATTTAGTACAGTATAGTACTATTTGTCGAAGTGAGTTTGCCGTTTCGTGCTGCAACATAGCCACACGCGCAAGCGTGATGCTGACATCCCGCCACTGCACCACACCAAGTCTCCCTCGTAGGTATGATTGTGTGAAGTTAACATCTTGGTCAAGATGCCTATGGCCGAGTTGTTTGTGAGACATGGGTGTTGCACTGCGCATGCGACTGTCGAACCAGTTGTTTGGTACAGGGGTTGATCCATAGGTGCGGCTGGTTGATCCAAATTATCTCCTAGAGTGTGAATGCTTGCAGCCCGCTTTGGCTCAAGAATGGCTTTTCCCATTCATTTTGCACCTGCGTTAATGGCTATGATGCGACACGAGTCTGCAGTGAAGGTACAGAATGCATTATGCTGCATCAAACTAGTCACCCAAGTGAATTTCATAGCCATTATCGCAGGTGCGACGCGACTCATCTCCATTTGTCCCCGCATTGCTAAGGCGCCGGCTGCATACATGCGGAGGGCACAAATAATTCACAAATACAGCTTCAATGCCTCATTCGTAGATGATGAATGCAATGTGCGTGCCAGCCCGCAACTCTAGGAATATTTGCTACAGTATGCATGGGTGATCGTGATTTGTGATGCATCCATGTCAATCTATGGGATGTGCGAGCCGCATCATTCTGTGATGGCCAGGAAGTCAATCCTGCAACAGAGTCAACTCTCAATTTACGTTATGGCTGGCAGATCGTTTGCTTCTTAATATGGATATACTGATATACCACCTTTTCAGTCAATAGGCGAATTGTGCGCAATTGTGTCGCCTTTTCTGGAGAAGCGTGTTGGTTGCAGTGAACTCTGTATGACTGATGGATGTTTTGCAAAGATGGGTGGACTAGATTCAATCAGTCACATGCAGCCTCACTTGGCGCCAAAGAGCTTCGCTGTCGGGAGTTTCCAAAAACCTGCAAGTGCAGGATCGACTTGTTGAGATGCAAATTGGCATGGCTAGCAGGCTTTCTACTGAACGACCTTTGTTCTATGGTCCCTTTTGTTTTGGCAAACAAGGAATTCCAGCTGCTCTAGCAGTTGTGAGTTGGGTTGAGCGCTAAGCTAGAGCAGTCATTCAGGTTGTGTATGTTTACGCTTTGGAAACGTATGCCCGGTATTTTCTCTGAAGCAGTGCGCAACTCTGAGATTTGAAGGCTTTATCGCACAAGTATGCAGTTGCACTGGACGATCCTTTTGCGGGAGTTCATGTCAAGCATGCTTCATGTATTGCATGATTCTTAGGCTTAGGGCATGCTGATTTAGAAGGTTGTGCAAGACCGTTCTTGTGGACTATTTGGAAGCTTGAATAATGTCTTCTTATGCTGGCGAACAATGAGTGGTGACGGTACGTGCAAGCACTATTGTGGTTCATTGTGTTCTTGATGTCCAAACTTTCGTTTCATAGCCCATGTTTGAGTCCGAAGATAGATGACCTGCTGGATGGATGGCGAGATCGGGCCCTAGTATTAGTATTGATGGCATTGCAATTTGCAGGTGCTTAGTATCAGCCACGTTTCTGAGGATTAGCTTGGGTTACGATCCGTCCAAGCAAAGGGGTTAAACATCATGACCCAGGGGCCTTTGTGCGCTACCTTGCCACACGGAAGGTATGAGCGATCTCGCCATGGAGGATGCCTTGCACTCAGCAAAGATCTGGTGAACCGCTTTGAACTGATGACATTTAAGAGCTTACACCACGTTAATAATCAACCAGAAAGGGCCTGAGTGACTCGCATTGCGTTGAGCTGAAGGACCCTGGTGACTTGGTACAGGAAGCCAAAGGCAGAGATCTGGCCGCAGTGAGCTTACTCTGGTAATAGGAACGCCCGAAGCCTAAGACTCCCGCGAAAGTTGAGCAGTGCTTGATATGTGCCATTTGTGAAGAGTCACCACACTTCCAACACACTATTGCTATGACCACCTATTGATATGACTATTCACACTTCCATCTATTGATCTGACTATCTCCACAAGACATCATCATGGCCACACTGCTTGAGCCACCTGCGAAACATGGGGACCCCGTGTTCAATGGGCTCCACATCATTCTGGGTGAATTATAACGACCTCACACGACCTCACCCCAATTGGTGGGTTATGTAGGCAATATCCCTCCAACCACCTTATTTCAAGCTGTGAAATATTATAATTCACCCAGAATTATTTCAATTCGTTCCATTCAGCTGTCCGTTTTCTGAGGTGCTGAAGGCGCAAGCTGGCCGTTTGCGAGATGCTGGAAACTTGATTCGCTTCCCTCAGGATGCGGGATGAAGCGGGGTGAGAGAGCGGCCCCAACACGGGTTTGCCTTTCTTTTAGGGGACCCCAAAACTGGTTTGCTGTTGGGGTGTCCATTAAAACCACAAAGATGGTGTGCCTTTAAACAACGACACAAAAAATGGTTCCTTCCAAAGGATACCTTCCCAAATGGATATGGTTGTGATCGCGGTTGCTTTTGCGAGAGAGCCGCCCGAAGCTCTGGTGTCGCCAAGCAGGGTTGCGACTTTCGGAGGGGTTGAGTTCACCCAAGTATCATTCCATTTCATGAACCTACGAAGCATGGTGTGAACAAACTGCAATCTCCGACAGACGAGTCTTTCAGCCGCCCGCCCCAGAATTTCTGGGGCATTTTCCTGCTTCAGCAGTGGCCAGGTTCTAAACATCCATTCCAACCTCGCGTCAGTGGGCCCCAGGGCGCCTCCGGACCATTGGCCATAGCAGTTTTGCCAAGTTAAGCCAGGAGAGTGCCCTGCACAAATGCCATTGCGATTGTTGCCACTGAGCCACTGCTGACGCTGCCCCTCACGGTGCGTTCTATTGCTATTACTTTTACAACTGCTGCTGCAGTTTGCGCTGTATCAGGGTTTAAATTGTCACCAAACCTTGAGAACCGATAGGGCCGACAGAACATACCATACCTCTAGCCGTTGAACTTATGTGGTTGCTCATAATTTGTTTGAACCATGTTTCTGCCTTGCTTTACAGTGTTGCAATTTTCTATCCCTGGGGCACAGAAGCGAAAGGACCTACGACGGGTGGTTATGGGCAAACACGCGGCAGTAATGTGAACTGGTGTGATGACGCGCTTGCGTCCGCTTGCTGTTTGTGTTTTGCAATGTTGGACTGCAGTCAGTTCTTGTCGTGAGTGATTTATTCCTAAATATGCTCCCCCCCCCACCCGCCAAAAAAATAAGAAAGACATGACAAAAAGCAAACAAAATTACATATTCCCCTTGCAGGGGTCGGAACTGTATCAATGGTGCCCAATTTGATCCGACTGTGTGCCGGGCCCAGAAACTGTCTAAAGCATATTTTGCACATGGAATGTAAACAAAATTGCCTACAAATGATGTAGAATGATACCTGAACTTCCTTTAGCCTGCGACAGCAGGTCGGCTTGAAATTTGTTGGTTTAGAATTGGTTTAGTATTTCCTACTTCCAATTTAGTGCCATTGCCGTGTCACAAGAACATGATGAACAGGATGCATTTGCCAATATTGGGAAGGGAAGGGGAAAACTAAAAAAACACATCCAGCAGTACCTCTGTTTGGGCCCACGAGTCCAGTATTTAAATGGGGGTGTATTTTCTTCGGATTCGCCCCCCCCCCCCCCGAAAGGGAGGTGTTCCTTTTGGTTTCCTGTAAACCCGCCAAAAAGCGGCTACCCTCCGGCTGGTTCATGGTCTTCTGGTCTCACGTTGGATTGGCCATTCCCAGGAGGACATCTCTTATGAGGAACAAGCAGAGTGGTACTCAAGCCTCTTTGCTGGAAATCGACTCGTTGTGCATCCAAACTGGCTCTGAGACATACCCAAACACACATGGCTCACTTCAGGGTGCTGCCTCGAACCTACTCGCCGCTGAAGTTGCTAAGAG